AGCTGATCTGTGCTGGTCGCTGAGGGAATACATCAACATAGTGCTGTGGATCGCCGGCACATTTTATGGAGGACTGTTTACTGTTCCTGGGAGAGTAACGTTAGATTAAAATGCCGGCAGTTCTGACTCACGTAAATACGTTTTCTTTTATCATTTGCCACTGATGATTCAAATACGAGTTTTGGGCAGTGTGGAGTAGCACTTGTTATTTGTCATTTCTCTGATCACAAATGCAGACAGAGTTTTATGTTTATGCGGCACGATGCAATGCAACGCAACGCGTAAAAAGACAGTATAAGTCATAATAATCAGTAATTATGTCCCCACTGGATGCAACAAATGCCTCGTTTATAATGGGTTTTAATGTTTTTGTCTCGTCGCTCCGGCCGGACACGGCATCACAGTATGTGAGGGGCGTAACATTTCCGTCACCCACTTGAGGTATTCGGCCAATCACAATGCACTGGATAGCTGGCCAATCACAGCACACCTCGCTTTTTTGCAGACCGATGAGTTTTGTAAAAATCGACGTGTTTCAAAAAGGCGGGGCATAGAGGAGAAACAATAATGTACAGTATGTGGAAAATAATGTTTTTTTACTTTAAACCGCATAAACATGTCATTACACCAAATACACAAAATAATGTTCTTTTTAGCAGCATCATATGACCCCTTTAAACTATTATTTTTCTTAGTGTAAAGAACATTTTAATAATCTTAAGGATTTTAATGAAATTTTATAAAGAACCTTTGCAATAGAAAGTTTTCATGGATGTTAAAGGTTCCTCATCTATTACAGTTCCTTAGGAGAAACAAAAATAATCCAGACAATTGCAGACACACATTAGGTTGATAGCATAATCCAGATAATTTGGTCTTTTTGAGAAATACTGTATTTGAGTTCATACTGAAAACATTTAATTGAAGACTTTGGTATCTTGGCAAATCTTAGAACTGTTTGAGATGTTGTTGAGATCCTTTATAAAACTATTGAGGAGAAGAACAATCTAAAGGCATAAAGACATAAAAATATCCGTTTGCCCCCTCCATTTAGCCTCTTAGCTGTCTAGGGGATGTTAAAGTGATCTCATTCGTGCATTTTCTTTTCTATGGTGCACAATCAGATCATTCACTTTGATCCAGAAATATCAGACCAAACAATGCCTGAAAACACTGCACTTCCTCTCCTGCTGCTTTTCTCAGTGCAGAGCTCTAACATCGTCAACATACAACAAACGGTTCCAAAAGTGGCGTTCTCAAATAATACGTCTTCCATCACCCAAGAGTCGTTTATAGTTTAACCAACTTTTACTGTACTCTTTTCCTCACCTCCTCGTGGCCCAGTGGCGGTCTGAGGGTGGTTACTGCTGAGGTGGAGCTCTGCTGTGTCTAGAGAGGTCAGTGGTTGACTATTTGAGGAGCTCTGACCCTGTCAGCTCTAGTTTATTTGTGTCTCTCCTCTCAGCTCTCTGATTTATTCTACAGCCCCCTTTTACCTCAGCTTTGTTCACCACCTGTATTTATTGTCCTTTTCCAGCCTAGTCCCATGTAAATAAAGGCAAAGAGAACACAGATGCAGCTAAGCTGCAGATGCTCAAGGAATACAAATATGATTTTCTGTGCTACAAACAAGGAGATGTTAGGCAGAATCTTTGCACTGTTACACAAAGTCAGTAAGGACTATAGAAGTATACTGAAAAGAAAATTGCTGTAGAAACAACTTTTCACTTGGAAATTCCAAGTCAATTTCACAAACAGTTACAAAGAAAACAATAACATTGAAATAAATGTGAAATTTTGAAGTAGAAAAACTGAAATAGAATTTTTTTTGTCAAACATACTCCAATAATCCTTTTTTGTTTTGTTTTATTTACAACAATAAATACAACAATAAATTACAGTGTAGTCTGCTTGAGGCGTGTGCTAATTTCTAAAGTTGTAAAATCACTTTAACTCTGCCGTGGCTCTTAAAGTTCATACACGTATACGCATACACATATAAAGTTCATATCACCACTCATACAAAATGCTGTAGTTTTGTTCAGTGCTGAGTTCTGCGCACTTGCAAATCCTCTCATTAGAACAAGCTACAGTACTAGTAGAGCTACAGTACTTCTGAGAAGATTTTCAGCAAATAAAAACGGGTCTGTTCTCAAACATTTTGTGTGGCATTAAAATATTAAAATAATAGATAGCTAAAAATAAGTATCGTGGCCAAGAATTAAGAATCCACTCCCAAAATTTGTGGCCATGTTGTACTAATTTTTTAATTTGTGGCCACAATAGTTTTTTTTTTTTTCCCTTCCCATCATCTGCGGGGCTCCGTAATATTGTGTACGAGTCACATGGGCTATTTTTTTCAAGTTAAAAAGAGAGAACAAATTAGTACAGCATAGCCACTATTTAAATGAAACGAGGGAATTAATAAATATGGGAAGGAATTCTTAATTCACAGCATCATATGTGGGGCTCTGTACTATTGTGTGAGTCACATTAACTGTATATATATATATATATATATATATATATATATATAT